CTGGCTGCCCTCTCTCGGCCGGCCCCTTCTGACAGGCCCTGGTGTCCGGAGGAGCGTGTGTGTGTGTTGGGGATGAGAAGAGGGTGTCACAGACTAGCAGGGCTGAAGTGGAGAGTTGTCGCTGGACTGGAATACAGAAATGCCCCTGCACTTGGTCAGAAGAGAACCATCCAGCCAGAGCCCAGCCGCCCTCCCTCTACTCAGAATCAGTCTCCCTTTGCCCTGGGGCTCATCATCTGCCTTCACTGGACTTCACTTTTTAAATTTGCCTGTGTCTGCGGGGACGGTTAATAACACTATTATGGGATTTGAGAGAATCAGATGAGAGAGTAATTTTGAAATGTGCACTCTGCTGTATAAGGATGTGTAATTCCATGCATAGGCATGTTGCTCTAATGTTCTCTCTTCCACACCTTGATGACCAGGCAAACTCTTCCTCATTCTTCAAGTCCAGCTCAGATGTCACCTGCTCTCTGTGACTTTCTCAGCAGGCCCTGTCCATCCATGGAAGAATGGGGCCACTCCGTCCCTGGGTTACTGTGTCCCTCTTCATAACCTTCTCTTGGGTGCCTTTGGTAGCCAGTTATTGGTTTGCATGTCCGTTTCCCCTGCCGTATGTGGGCAGAGCTTCCATAACAGACCCCTCTGCTCACAAGGTCAGTGCAGTCGTGGTGGGACAGAGGCAGTATGGCGAAGGCACTGGGGAAGCTCCTGGGGCCTGGCCTGGGCAAGGTCGCCACGTGGAAGTCCAGCCTTTAGAATTGAGCAGGTCCCCATGACTGACTCAGTCGGATTCTCAGGAGTCTGAGCTAAGAGCAGGTGACCAGATTACTGGGGTCCTTTCCTTTCTGTGATGTGAATGCTCACGCCCACTGCCACAGCCTCCTGCTGATGACCAGGACACCAAGAGGGCCATGTTGGTCACACTGATTCCTGATGAGGTGAAATCTGAGCTGAGGGGGAACAGCGTTAAAGGAGAGGCTGTGTAGGACTTAAGGAAGCATGTTCCATCAGCTCGTCCACCATACTGCAGACTCCTTGGAGGCCCATGTCCCCATGCCTAGGGCCACCAAATAGATGTTGGGAGACAGCATTGCATGGTGGTCAAAGGCTCCTCTGCTTCCTGATCTGTGTTCCTATGTGTGATTACTTACATCTTTCCCCCTAAACTTTAGGCCCCACAAAGGCAGGGATAGCCTTGTTCATCTTGGTGCTTCCTGGCCACTAATCCTACCCTGTATTGAACTTAGATTATGCGACAGTCATGTACAGACATCAGCTTGTCCATTCCCCTCAATGTCCTATTATCTAGGTGAGGACATGTGAGGTGAGGTGCCATGTCCAAACAGACAGAGCCATTAGTGCCAGGGTAGAGACCTAGACCCTGTTCCCAATTGCTCCTCCCCACATCCGTTTCCATTTGAGCAGCTTCCCCTGGGGGGTGGGATCAGCTGGCCTGAGTATCTAGGCTGCAGCAGGCATGGCTGGTTTGGAGGCTGTCACTCCAGATATGTTGGTGGCTAAGAAGGGGACCAGCACTGGTCCTCCTGGCAGGCTTCTCACGACCCCTCCCGGGACCACAGAAAGGAACTGGTTTGAGGAGCAGGTGGAAGGTTTGCGAGTAGGTTTGGGGGGTGTTTATTACCAAGGCCCAGGGAGTGGTTTGGGGAAAGGTTTGGACGTGCCCCAGAACGCTCCTCCCCTGCTCACTGCCCCACTGAGGCACCGGTGCTCTTGGCTGGCTTTGCTGCGCCGACCTCGTCTGCAAGCCCATGTGTTCTTGGAAGTAATAGAAATGCATTTCTTAAAAATGCTCGATAATTCAGCCTTGTCCTGATAACAGGCTTTGTCTCTGCTCAGCACTCTGGTCTCCTCGGAACTGCTCGTACCCATTATCTCTTCTCAGCTGCTCAGGCTCCTGAGAGGTAATGTGAACCCCACGGAGAGCCCGTGAGCCAGCTGAAGCCAAGAAGGACAGGGACCTGCCTAGGCCACCCGGGCGAGTCTGCCTGGGTGTGGCGGTGGTTAGTGTTATCACCACTTACAGAGCTCCCACTGTGTGTGGGGCCTCACTTAACTCTCCAGACAGCTCAAGTGCAGGGCCAGGAAGCCACAGGCCTGCCTAGCCCCTAGCCTGTGCCCTTAACTCCTTTATCACACACTTCTGTGCCAAGCACAGTCTTGCCAGGGAGAAGCTACCATCCCAGGGATGCAAATACCCAAATGGATCATGTCCACCAAGGAAGGGGTGTGAGATAGGCGTCTTTAGCCCGGAGCCTGGGCCAGGCTCCCAGTGGAGGCAGAGCTTGAGCTCTCTGCCCTAGGGGACCCTGCCTTGCAGGGTTGGGCCCACCAGCCAGCTGACTGAGCACTCTGATGCTGGCTGCCCCCTCTGTGGGGCTCTGGCCTCCCCAGGCCACCTTCTGAGAGCACAGGGAGCCGTGTGGGCAGGGAAGGAGCAGGGCTTTGAAAGGGCCGACAGGCTGGCATTGCCTCCTACGAGCTGGGTGACTAGGGGCTCATCCTGTCCCCTTTCTGGGCTCCAGTTTCCACTTTCATAAAGTGGGATTAATGCCCTTTTCTCCTTGAGTTGTCCTCAAGATTTAACATGATAAATATGTAAAGTACCTAACACATGACAAATTAACGAATGGCAAATCTTGAAATGATTGTTATTATGGGGCTTTTTGTTTTCTAAATTTTATGAATAATAAAATTACTCAGTCAAAAGTTTGAAAAGAAGGATAACTGTGACTTTAAGATCAGCATGTGTTTTACATTTGTAATACTACTCTTGCAGAGACCCTCTTACATCCTAAACCAGACTACAGGATGTCCAATAATGAATGTGTTTGGTTTGGAACACACTTGGGATAAATTGTATCTTTCAAAAAACATCTAATTCTTTTAAAATTCAGAAGCATTGTTATTGTGTCTTTACTTCTTAATTTATCAAGCAGATGGTTTGAGTTGCTTCCATATTTTATTTCCTGTTCTGTGACTTTGGGCAAATTATTTAACCTGTTTGTGTCTCAGTTGATAATAAGAGTATCTACTTTATAGGGTTCTTGTGAATATTAATGAGTTAATATAGTGTCTAGAATAGTGTCTGGCTTGTATCAGTTATAAATAATAATAATAATTTCTTAATAGGAACATATACCTGAGCTAGATGTGGTGGCACATGCCTGTAGTCCCAGCTACTCGGGAGGCTGAGGTGGGAGGATTGCCTGAACCTAGGTATTTGAGGCCAGCCTGGGCAATATAGTAAGACCCCATCTTGAAAAAGAAATTAAATAAATAAATAAAAATCACTAAAAAAAAGAACAAGAAAAAGCAAATATATCCAGATTGTTACTAATATCTAGTCAGGTTGCTTTTTTGTTAACATACATTCAGCTAACATTTACCTAGCGCTGGCTCTGGGCTTGTTTGGGCCTTGGCCTTGGGGCCTGATTTCAAACGCTGGCTCAGCGGCTCCCTGGCTGTACCCCGTGGCCTGGGCTCCCAGGGCTTGGTTTCTGCCTCTGGCTCCCAGTCCCTGGGGCCTCTGGTGAGGCTGAGCTCATAAAGTGTCAGCAAAGCACTTTGTGGATCGATGCTAACTAATAGCAGCTCCCTGGAGCTGGCGCAAGTAGGGAGACGATTGTGGAGGCTGCTTGGACCAGGCTCAGGGACAGGCACCCAGGGAAGGCCAGTGTTGTTCTCACCAGGGTCCTAGGAAGGGCCTTCCAGCCCCTCTTCCTGATGCTTCATGGCACTCTAGCCAGAGGTGGGTGCTGATGGAGTTTGGCAATGGCGAGGGGGAAGAGGTTTGCCCAGTTAGTGGCAGAGCCAGGCGTAGAGACCCATCCAGGACACACACTTGGTCACATCTAGCCAGAGCAGATGCCCAGCCTGTCCTGGGTGTCCTCTTGTCAGGAATCCCTCAGTTGCCCCATTGCCATTTCCCCAGAGGTTGCTAGCCTCTGCCCAGACATATGGCTATCTTAAGTATGGCATGGCGGCTTCAGCTCACCAGAGGGCATGAGTGGGAGGTTGGCATGGACGCTGGGCAAAGGAGGGAATGTGTGAGACTCCGCCCCAGTTCTGCCCCAGAGGGAAGCCCTTCTCTGTGTTTCAGACTGAACCGAAGTCTGTTCTGGGAACTGCTGTGGGGGCAGCATATGGGGACTGTGCCCTCTGAGAGCTCCTGGTCTTATGGAGGAGGCATGACCCTGCCTTCCAGAGACAGACTCCTGTCTGACAGGGGGAACGTGGTTTCTGTTCCCTGGGACTCCCTATGTCACATAGGGAACATAGTCCTCTTGCCCTCTGCAGCTCCTTGTCTGAGGAAGGAGGCATGACCTTCATCCTGCAGGAGCCTCCAGTCAGATGGAGGAGTCATGGCCAGTGCCCTCAGAGAGATCCCTATTTGACAGAGGAGATCTGACCTCCACCCTCAGGATGGACTGTCTGACAGGGGAGATGCGCCTTGTCCTCTTACTCAAGAAACCCCATTTGATGGCCTCTGCCTTTGGGGATCCCTCCACTTCCTGATTCGTGGGGAGCCCGGGTCCCACAGGCAGTAGCCACAGAGCGAGCTGGGCAGAGTTATGGACTTGGCTGCTGTGGGGAAGGGAAGACAGGGACCGTAGACGGGCTCCTACAGCAAGTGAGGTGACATGGAAGGCTTCCTGGTGGAGGTGCCTTTGTGGGACCTCTGATGCACAGGAGGTGCCTGGTTGTGACCAGTACCCTCCAGGGATAAGACTAGGAAGGAAACCGCGAGGGGTCACTTCAGTGAGCCCCTGTCTCCATGAGGCCCGGACTGCTGGCACGGAAAGGGGCCCAGGGAGACCCTCGCCCTCAGCCTGTCGGTGCACAGGCAGAGTGCTGCCAGCCCAGGGACATCCGCCCTCCGTGGCCTGAGAAGCCCGCAGGAGGAGAGGAAACAGGACGCGTATCAGGAACGCCTTTTCCTCTTCTTTGTAACGAGCCCCCTACTCGGGGTTGGGGAAGCCGATCCTGCCGGGCTCACCCTGGCCTGGCCGCTGCTGCCTGCAGCCCCCAGCTCCAGCTCTCCCAGGCCTCCCTCCGCCCCACAGGCTACTGCCTCTGCTGCTGCTCCTGGGCTGGCCCCTTAACTCCACTGAATCCCAGGGCTCTCATCTGTAAAATGGGGTAAGACTTCCCATCTGCTTCACCAGGAAGTTTGTTTTTCCTCTCTTTGGGGGATTGAGCTCTTCCTGTGCACCAGCCTCTGGGCTGAGCACGGGTGGAGGGCATAGGGGAGGAACAGTGTGTGTATGTGAGTCTGTTTGGGACTTGTCTGAGGAGTTGGGGGACATCCAAGTAGAAATGTCCGAAGGCTGGCGGGTGTGGGGTCAGAGAGGGTCTGGCTGGAGATGGAGGTCCGGAGCTGCCAGCATCTGGTGGCAGCTAAAGTGGTCAGGTGGGTGGAGTCACCCAGGGAATTGCTTGTCCTGGGCTCTGGGGAGGGGCGGAGGCCAGTCTCAGCCCTGGAGCCTACCGAGAGCTGGGCACAGAGCAGGGATGGGGGCCATGCATCCAGGGCCTCCAGCAGGACTGAAATGGGGTCACTGGGTTGGGTGCTCCTTAGGGGGGTGAGGGCAGTATTGAGACCTTCACCTTAGCAGGCTAGATGTGGGGTGTGTGGGGAAGGGTGGACCACAGAGGATGAGGACGGAGTAGAGGTGAAGATGCTCAGACATCAAACAATGCAGTTAGCCAGATTGTCTTTTTTTTGAAACAGAGTCTCGCTCTGTTGCCCGGGCTAGAGTGCAATGACACCATCATAGCTCACTGCGGCCTCAAACTTTTGGGCTCAGATTGTCATTCTTTTGCTTATTTTTCTCATTATTCAAATTATTCCTCTGCTGGCTAGAGGGCTACCGTGGGAGTGCATGTGGAGGTAAGTGCAGTGTGTATGGTGTACGTGTGTGGGGAGTGTGATGCATGTGTGTATATGGGGTGTGTTTAGTATTTGTACGTGTGGTATGCGTGTGTAGAGTATGTGCCTGTGGCCACATTCAGGTCTGCGTTCCATACGGTAGGTGGTGCTGAGCCTTCTCCCTTGGCTGGAAACTGGGAAGGATGCACCAGGCTTGTGAATTTCCCCTCTCTAATTAGTACTACGCCCAGTGGCGCACTGCGAACAACTGGCCTTCCAGAAAAAAGGAAGGTGGGTAAGATTGTAGCATTTGCCAATTTCTGTGGTGTAAATTCTCCCACCACGGACTTCACTCTACCAACGTGATGTCATTGTACATGGAGTTAGGAAGAGATCAACAGCAGACACCATTATATGGTATTCCCACCATAAGGTAGACATGAATATACAGTAGACATAAATAACCTCAGAAGCATAGTAGTGAAATACTTAGTAAGTGGTAAGTTTTGAGTATGTATTCCTTTTGTTTTTAATATAATTTATTTAATTGTAAGTTTGTATCAGGGGTTCTCAGCATCAGCACTGTTAACATTCTGGGCTGGAGACTTTTGCTGGGGCTGGGGCCACTGACCTGAGCATTATGCAGGCAGTGTCCCTGGCCTCCACCTACGAGATGCCGGTAGCATCCCTCCCCCACATTTTGATAGCCCACAGTGTCTCCAGACATTGCCAAATGTGTCTGGGGTGCAAAGTCACCCCAAGCTGAGAACCACTGGTAGTGGTTGTGTTTAATAACTAGCTCACCAAATTCCTAAAAACGTGACAGTCACTCTTATGAGTCTATACAGGCCAGCTCCAGCACACGCTGGGCACCGTATCTGGATAAATATAAGGCATGGTTTTTTTTCTCCAAAAATTCTTTCTCGAGAAAGCTAGATTTTGGTCCCTACAGAGTCCCTGACTGACCCACAGAGTGGTTGACACAAAGTCAGAGATGTGGCACCATACTGGATCTATTGTGACGTTTTATGAAATGTGAGAATGGGAAGAAAATAATGTTTCTGAATTAATATATTATTTTAACATAAAATGTTATTCTATATCCCTAAAAGTTTGTGCGTTTAAATTGGTAAAAAGAAAAAACAAACAAGACAAAAAACCCTCTGCGTAAAATCCTCCTGCTGGGAAAATAATGGAGTGTCTCGTGTCTGGGGCGCCCTGGATCTAACGGGCTCCCGCCGGGGCCGCGCAGCCGGTGTCTCGTCCTGCTGGCGAGACTGCTGCCTCTGACATGTTGCTTGGCCCAGGGCCTGTTTTCCCCGGCTCAGGGCTTGGCTCTTGTTTGTTCATTTGTTTGCTCATTCAGATCTTTATTAAGCACCTGATGTTGTATCAAGGAAAAAGAAATGACTGGAGGAAGACGCAGTTCCTGCTCTCCGGGGTTTGCCGTCATTTCAGTTCCATGGTGTCACTAGGCAGTGGCGATGTGCTGGCCCTGTGTGGACGCTGGGGGGACAGCGGGGATAGGGGGAGAAAGCCGTGAATGTGTGCTGGGTGCCTGACGTGGGCCCGGAGCTGAGCTGGGCGCATCATAGGTGCACCTCCCTCCTCCCTCCCACTGTGCTTTGAGGGGGTTCGTTTATTTGCGGATTGTCTGTCTCCTTGCTGCAGAGTGTAGGTGCTCTGGGGACAGGGCACAGGGCTCTGTGTCTCCTGCAGGTCAGAACAGCGCAAGCCCCAGAGGTCTGAAAGATAAAAGGAAGAAATGAAAGGAGGGAAGTAGGAAAGAAGAGTGGAAGGGAAGGAGCCGGGGAGGGGGGGCGGGGGGAGGCATCGGGGCAAGAGCGCGTTAAGCCGAAGCATCGGGGACAGCCGCTCGGATGAGGGGACGCTGGGAAGGGTGTGCAGTTGGGAGAACCGATGGAAAGGGTGGTACAGGAAGAGGGAGGAGCAGGGCATGTCTCCGAGGGTTCTGGAATGTGGAGGTTTAAACTGGGAAAGAAACATCGTAAACTGTTTTCCATCTGGGACTGGGAGGGAGACAGACAGCTAGAAAAATGTCTGGCTCCAGGTGGGGTAACATATCCATCTCCTGCCACCCTCGGGCCTTCTCACGTGAGGGACATTTGGGCAAGAACTCTCCCCTGAATGTGGGGCAGGGCAGACCATTGACCAGGGCAATGATGATGGTGATAATTATGGTGTCAACAGTGTCAGCTTCCCTGTATTGACTCCTGACTAGGTGCCAGGTCTTTATGTGGAGCTCCAGCCTATGGGGTGGATGTCACCCCATTCTCCAGACAAGGGAAAGTGAGCCTCAGAGAGCACATGACAGTGGCCTGAGGTCACACCCGGGTCAGGAAGGGTCTGCTTGCTTCAGCTTCTGCGCCTGCTCAGGGGGATTTTTACTAACCTTTGATTCTCAGATCTCTCATTTCATGGTTAACAGAAAATGCGCCAGGCTTCTTTACGAAACTGCCCTCTGTCCATGGCCACTGGAGGCTCCCCTCTTTCTTCACTCTGCACCCGCAAAAACTTTCACAACTGTGGGTCGTGGCCAGGAAAGTGAGTACTGAACGCGGACAGGAGGCTAGGGGAATCGCTGTCTGCCTGGAAACCTGTGGGAAGGCTGGAGCCCAGGAGCCTGACTTGCCAGACACCCCCAGCCCCCAACTGCCCCCAGCCCTTCGGGCCTGCCGGACAGCACCCTGTGCCCACAGAGCCATGCCGTGGCCCAAGGGAGCCTTGGTGGATTTGGGGCAGGGATGTAAGGGGACGGGAGCATCATTCCAGTCTGACTCTGGGCACACAGAGAATCTCTCTGAGCCTGAGTTTCCTGACCCTGGCGAGACTCTTCTTTCCCTTGGGCTTTGAGTTCTTCGTCTGGGAAATGAAGCAGGTTGTGCGTGATCCCTCAGGCTCCCCAGGCTCCGGAAATCTGCGAAATGGGGTGACATTTCCTGCCTTCCTGCCTCCATCCCCCTCCTGGGCTGTCCTGAGAAGCAGGTGCACTGATGGCGGGTACACAGGCAGGCAGCGCTCTGACACAGGAGGGCTGTGAAATTCCGGCAGAGCAGACAAGCCTGTACACAAATAACTCTGCTACCAGGGAGACTGTGATAAGGGCCCTAGGAACCTCTTTGCAGCCTTTGCCACCTGCTCCTTACACCTCCTTGCTCCCTGATGGCTGTTCTCACTCCCAGGAAAGTAGGTCAGAATGTAGGGTGGCTGTCTCTGAGAGTGAATGCCCCCTGCCTGGTCCCCACCCTACACAGCTGAGCCATGACTGCTATCAGGGGCAGAGATGGGGGAAAGTTATGGGGTTGAGGGCATCTCTGTGTCCAAAATATAGTCCTGGCCAGTCATCCTCTCTACCCACCAAATGCCCCTGGCTCCCTATTGCCTTCTAGATATAGGCCAAGTTCCTCAGCCTGGCATTCAAGGCCTTTCACAGCATCCTCAACTCTCCTAGCCCAGGGCCCACAGATAGAAGCACTCTGGGACTCTCTGGGGGAGCAAGTGGACCATTCTGTAACCCAGCCTTCAGCCTCATGCTCCTCCCAGGCACTCAGGACACACTGTAGCCACCCAGGCCACTTGCTATCTCCCCAGCACCCAGTGGACGCAATTGCCCTCTCTAGTCCTCTGCCTGCACCTCTTCTTCACTTCAGTGCGTTCTTCACAATCCTCCTCATTGCTGCCTCCTCCCGTGAATCCTTTCTCAACTTCCCAGACATAACCACACAATCCCCCCTCTCAGGAAATATTGTGAGTGCTAATAAGCATGCTCTCTGGAGCCAGACTGCCTGAGCTCCAATATCTAGCTCTGCCCCTTGCTCACTGTGTGACCCTGGGCAAATCACTTAACTTCTCTGAGCCTTAATTTTTCATCTGTGAAATGGGATGATATGGTACTCCTTTTAGGGTTGTTGGAAGAGTAAATGAGTTAATAATATTTGTGACATACTTGGAGCAGTAACTGGCACCTGAATTCTCTCCTGGATGAGTTTTTTCTTTTCTTTTTTTTTTTCCAACTGAGTCTTACTCTGTCGCCCTGGGTACAGTGCCGTGGCATCAGCCTCGCTCACAGCAACCTCAAACTCCTGGGCTCAAGGGATCTTCCCACCTCAGCCTCCTGAGTAGCTGGGACTACAGGCATGCACCACCATGCCCGGATAATTTTTCTAGTTTTAGTTTTTTAGTTGTTGGGATAATTTCTTTCTCTTTTTAGTAGAGATGAGGTTTTGCTCTTGCTAAGCGAGAGCGATCC